ATTCAACCTGAAGCCCTGGTTCACACTGATGCGGTGTGGAATTTGCAATGTTTTCTGGCACCGCATCAGAATTGCACCTCATTCATGCGAACTGCTGCGGGTGTGTATGTTAAGTTAACAACACCCCGAAAGCGGTCCGAAAAAATGCAATGCGATGTGCAGAAACGGATCACATAGGTGTGAATACCCATGTGATCCAATTCTAGTGAGGATCCAAAAAAGGGTCCTGCACCTTTTTGGTGCGGGTGCGGTGCGATTAGAGCCATACAAAATGTATGGCTCCAACTGCACCACACACAAATCTCATGTGATTTGCACAGGAATGTGGTGCGGTTCCTATGCGAATTACCGCATATATGTGACCCAGGCTTACAATCACTTTCAGGCGAGTCAGTTCCCTGGCACAGCCCTCCTTGCACAGTATATCTTTTCCATTCTCCTCTCCTGGGTGTGTCTAGTTACTTTCTGTGCTTTTATCTGTGATTTTCCAAGTTGGTGGTCTCCTTAAGAAGGATATTTTGATAAACAAGCTCCAGATAAGTTTAATTGCAGTTGGCACTAAGAAGTGTTCCTCCATCAGATACATTATACACTGTACAGGTCTATGCGATTCAACACATTAATCAAGAAAAAAGCAATTAATTTCTTAGAATATTTTTATTTTGCGTATTTGCATTTTCTGTGAGTTGAACATATTTTGCTCTTTGTTGTTATAAAAAGTCAAGTAGTCAATGTACTCGGTACTGTATAACATTATTATATATATTATATACAACCTATAGTCTGATTGCCACAAAACCTGTGCATTTAACCAGATAAAAATGGTGCATCTATCCACATGGGCTGCAATTTTGTATATTTGCCAGCAAAGCTGCACCCATTTATTTAAAAGGGTGGCATTCCAGAGGCCAAAAAGATTGCTTGGTATTTATATTAGGACTGTATGATGATCAGCAGCATTCAGTGTTTTATATACAGCACAGTGTACAGAGTGCAGTAGTGTGGAGCATTTTATGTACAGAGCAATATAGGGAGTATGGCAACCCAGGCTAAGTTAAGTACAGCACAGCATGTAATATACAATGGATATGCAGTGTGGCAGTCCAAAGCCACATAGGCAGTACAGTGGCCCAAAGTATGTAATGTATAGCACAGGCTTGGCTTGGAATGTGGTGGTCAGGAATATATAAAAAGTACATCACAGTGCATGAAGTGTGGCAGTTCAGATCATGTGCTTAACAGCTCGGTGCATAGAATGTGGTAGAGCAGTGTTTTTCATCTGGGATGCCATGATGGGTCCTCAGGTGTGCTGCAGCAATAATCTGGTCTGAGCGCAACTCTGTGTTAACTGTGCACAGAGCGGAGAAAGAGCACAGCCCGCACCTCCTCCCTGCTGCTATCTGTACTATTTCCGGTAAAACAGAAAGCCGTGCGGGCCACCCACCCATGTCCTACCAACCGATGACATCATTGGCGGGCCACCCACCCATGTCCTACCAACTGATGACATCATTGGTTGCTAAAGACATGTCAGGCAGCATGCACAGCATCCAAATGTACAGAGCTTGAGTACAGCCCCCTATCTCCTCCCCACACTGCTCCTGTCCATTCAGCACAGTGTATGAAGCCCAGTCTATCCAACATACAACACAGCACATAACATTTGGTAGTTCAGCACCTGTAATATACAGCAACTAAGGGGCATAGTTTGCTTAAAAAGTCAAGTTTTCTTCTTTTTGCCATCAGATAGTTGGTTTATATAATGTAAAATATCCCTGTTCAAAATGAATGAATGCTAATTGGTTATGTTGCATAGTTATCTGCATGCTTTCTTACTCGTGATGTTTGTGAGTAGTTTTAATACCCTATGTTATTATTAAAATAATAACCCACTACACTTAGATTGGCGCCCCCTTCTGTCCGTTTTTGTTACATGCATTGCTGTACCATTACCACTTGACCTTTGAAAGGTTTTTCCCCCTTCATGACCAGGGCATTTTTAGCTATTCAGCACTGTACTACTTTAGCTGGCAATTGCTTGGTCATGTAACACTGTGCCCTAGTGAAATTTATATAATTTTTTTTTTTTCACACAAATAGAGCTTGCTATTGGTGGTATTTGATCACCACTGAGTTTTTTTTATTGCTTTATTATATAAATGAAAAAAGGCAGAAAATCTTGAAAAAAAAGTATATTTTCTACTTTCTGTTAACATATCCAATGAAAATCCTAAAAATAAAAAAAAAAACAGATTTCTTCATAAATTGTCTTTGGTAAAAAAAAAAATCCAAATAAGTGTATATTAAATGGTTTGTTATAGCTTCTACAAACGATAGTGTACATATACTGGAATTTACGTAGCTATGGCGCTATACTAGTAATGGTGGTGATCAGCGACTAGAGTGAGACTAGTATAGTGTGACCAGCAATCTGGCTCTAGCCAATCTGGCTGGGAGGTACAACTGACTAAATGACACGGACATCAATAGTGGCACTAATGCAGTGATCAGTGCTAATACTGTACACTGCACTAATAGCACTGGCTGGGAAGCGGTTAACATCAAGGGGCAATCAAAGGGTTAACTGTGTGCCTAAAAAGTGTAATATGTGCTGCTTTTACATTCAGATCTGGATGTTTTTTCTCCCTGTTTTGCAGGGAGAAGAAACAGCCACCTCACTGATCTGTGTACAGAGCCCTGTGTGTTTGTAAACTCATGGCTCTGTGCTGTGACTGGCTACAACTACTCAGCAGGTCTCAGCCATAAATCATTAGCTGGGACCTGCTGACAAAATCCCACTGCAGCTAGTGACAGTGAGGGGGTTGGCAGCTGGCACATCCGTAACACGGAGCAGGCTGGATCACATACAGTTTGCATATGTGCCTCCCACTTGTTAAGGGACCAAAAGTAATGGACAATTGGCTTCTCAGCTGTTCCATGGCCAGGTGTGTGTTATTCCTCATTATCCCAATTACAATGAGCAGATAAATGTCCAGAGTTCATTTCAAGTGTGCTATTTGCATTTGGAATCTGTTGCTGTCAACTCTCAAGATGAGATCCAAAGAGCTGTCAGTATCAGTGAAGCAAACCATCATTAGGCTGAAAAACACAAAACAAACCCATCAGAGAGATAGCAAAAACATTAGGCATGGCCAAAACAACTGTTTGGAACATTCTTAAAAAGAAGGAACTCGCCAGTGAGCTCAGCAACACCAAAAGACCCGGAAGACCACGGAAAACAACTGTGGTGAATGACCAAAGAATTCTTTCCCTGGTGAAGAAAACACCCTTCACAACAGTTGGCCAGATCAAGAACACTCTCCAGGAGGTAGGTGTATGCGTGTCAAAGTCAACAATCAAGAGAAGACTTCACCAGAGTGAATACAGAGGGTTCACCACAAGATGTAAACCATTGGTGAGCCTCAAAAACAGGAAGGCCAGATTAGAGTTTGCCAAACGACATCTAAAAAAGCCTTCATAGTTTTGGAACAACGTCCTATGGACAGATGAGACCAAGATCAACTTGTACCAGAGTGATGGGAAGAGAAGAGTATGGAGAAGGAAAGGAACTGCTCATGATCCTAAGCATACCACCTCATCAGTGAAGCATGGTGGTGGTAGTGTCATGGCGTGGGCATGTATGGCTGCCAATGGAACTGGTTCTCTTGTATTTATTGATGATGTGACTGCTGACAAAAGCAGCAGGATGAATTCTGAAGTGTTTCGGGCAATATTATCTGCTCATATTCAGCCAAATGCTTCAGAACTCATTGGACGCCGCTTCACAGTGCAGATGGACAATGACTCAAAGCATACCGCAAAAGCAACCAAAGAGTTTTTTAAGGGAAAGAAGTGGAATGTTATGCAATGGCCAAGTCAATCACCTGACCTGAATCCGATTGAGCATGCATTTCACTTGCTGCAGACAAAACTGAAGGGAAAATACCCCAAGAACAAGCAGGAACTGAAGACAGTTGCAGTAGAGGCCTGGCAGAGCATCACCAGGGATGAAAACCCAGCATCTGGTGATGTCTATGCGTTCCAGACTTCAGGCTGTAATTGACTGCAAAGAATTTGCAACCAAGTATTAACAAGTGAAAGTTTGATTTATGATTATTCTGTCCCATTACTTTTGGTCCCTTAACAAGTGGGAGGCACATATGCAAACTGTTGTAATTCCTACACCGTTCACCTGATTTGGATGTAAATACCCTCAAATTAAAGCTGACAGTCTGCAGTTAAAGCACATCTTGTTTGTTTCATTTCAAATCCATTGTGGTGGTGTATAGAGCCAAAAATGTTAGAATTGTGTCGATGTCCCAATATTTATGGACCTGACTGTATGTAAAGCTCTGCATAAATGGACGGCGCTATATAAGTATCTGAAATAAATAAATAACTATGGGGGCATCCTTATCCTCCACAGGATGGCAAAAGCAGACTAGCCCAGTTGTAACAGTGAGGACTATGTATTGCCCAGCCTCCATCTCATCAAGGAGATCGGAATTGTGTGTTAATAGCTTTCGAATTCTTTAGAAAAGGATATTTACTCTAGATTTACGAACAAGTATGTGGTATGTGGTCTTACCTGAATGGATATATATTAGATTATTAGGGCGGGCCATTATTTGCGGCAAAATCTAAAAGAGATAGTACAATCAGATTACAAAGTGCGGACTATCGGGTGCAAGCCTTAGTTGCAGTCCTACCTATTGGTTCACTTTCTCCATTTCCCCTTTACTGCATAGATATAACCTCTTGGTTAAATTGTTTTCGCTGGTGTGTGTTTGCTCTGTGGTCCTGTGTCAGTTCAGTCATTATTCATTTTCTCCCCTCCCCCTCCAGTATCTCTCCTTTCACTAACAGCAGAGTGACATGCGGTCCCTATCAGTGACCCCCGCCATTCACTTACACACCTGTCCCATCTTAGCAGCTGTGATCTTTTATTCTCATTGATTTTGTCACACCCCATGTGTGATTGTGTGCAAAGTTCCAAGTTGTCACTTAATCATTTTCTCTCTCAATATTTCTAATATGACTTGTCTTTCTTCCCTTTCCAGCTCAAACCTCCTCTCCCTCTCCCTCCGCTCGGCCTCCTGCCTTTCTCTCTCCAGCGCGGCTCTTTCCCTCTGTAGCTGCAGTTCTTCCCGTCGCAGAGCTAGTTCCTCTTCCCGCAGGCGCTGCTCTGCCTCTGCCCTCCGTTCTAAGTGTTGCAGTATTCGAGCGTATGCATTGCAGCAGCCTTCGCATTCTTGTTTCTTGACCAGCCTTTCTCCCATGTTGTTGTCTTCCTGCTTAGACTCCATTGCTGAAATGGAATGTACCGCTGGTTAACAAAATGAATTTGATAAAATAATACAACATAAGGTATAATACAGTAAAACTGAACTCTAAGTGTGGAACATCTTGCATAACTACATGGGTCCAACCATACCTGGAGTTCAGCTTTAAAGATCTGATTAAAACTGGTATTTCAGTTTTGGGTGGGCCCTAGAGGGCTGAAAACTGTCTTTTTTTAATATTTTTTGGCGATACTAGAAGTTACCTATTTGTCATGCTTAAAAGAGAAGTATGGGATGGCTTTTTTTCCCCCAAATTATACTTGCCTAGGTTGATGCAGCATCGGTCTGCCAGGTCTAACTGTGAAACTCCGTGATCACATGACCGCTGATCGCTGAGTTCTCACTGCCGCTGTGAGCAGAGAGCGGTGACTGTCAGTCACCTGTCTGATCTGCCCCCCGTGCTCACTGAATCGCTGGGCTGTGGAGGGGGGTGAAGCAGCTGGCTCAGGCTCTCAGCAGATCGCTGAAAGGGTGAGCCAGGTGCCGCTCCAGACTCTGGGGTGAATCCCGACTTTAAAGTCGGGATCTTTCTCCAGCCTGGACCGGCTAAGTGACATCAGCTGACAGCAGGCTTCAGTTCACTGTCAGATGAAGATGGGTCACAGGAGTTCAGAACGAACTGCACTTCTGTGATCCACAGAAGTACAGCCAAAAAAAGCTTTGGCTGTACTTCTCCTTTAACTAAAAAATAAAGCAAATACTTCAGTACTGTGCCCTTGTGCAATGGAGCACTGAGAGTTTTCAAGGTTAATTAGCACACTGAACACTGCCTTAGGCGCATAATCCTTGGTACTTGCTGCAACATTCCCTATCAACTGTCTTGCCAATGCATGTCATTGCATGATGTTTAAGAGAAGATGGACTATTTACGATCTCATGATTATTATGTCGGGGTGAAATTATTTTTATAAACATGTAAAGCTGAATTTAAAGAATCAGTTCACCTTTGAAAAAAAAAAATAATATCTTTTTGCAGATAAAATAATGTGCATTTATTATTTTTTTTACTAGGAGCCTGCAAAGCCTTGCACCTATGATCAGCAGATCACGGGCGTAATGCAGGACTCCTGCAGACTGTCCACATAAGCTGTACGCTCATACATCGCACAGGCAGGCGGTTACACAATGACAGGAAGAATCAATGCACCAAAAGAGCGCTCACCAGCACCCTGGTAATTCACGGAGAACTACAAGCCGATAGCCGCAAAGGCTGTTGGTACTTGTAGTTTTCCCATTCACAGAGAGGGAGCAGAGCCCCGCACGGCCGCAGTTTTTTTCTTAAATAATGACGACGAGTTCGGGGAGAAGATCCATGGCTCCTGTTACACATGGTGCAGGAGTAAGAACACCCCTAAAAATGGGTGGAACATGTTACATGTTCCCAAAGGTGAACTTGTCCTTTAAAAGTTGCCATAACATTTAAAACACGGTACCTCCTTCATCACATATGGTAAATGCATAACAAATCAATGATTTGTATATAAGAGGTGCATTATTCCCATGCCATTTAAAGTGGAGTTCCACTCAAAAGTGGAAGCTCCGCTTGTTTGCCTCCTCCCCCCCTCCACTGTTATATTTGGCACCTTTGGGGGAGGGGGGGGCGGATACCTGTTTTTGGCAGGTACGCACTCCCCACTTCCGGCTCAGTTCACCGCAGCAAAGCGAGCTGGAATTTCAGCCCCCTCCTCCCTCCCGCAGTCTCCTGGGGACCTTCACAGGTTCCAGAAGACTGCCGGACCAATGAGAATGCACAGCGCGACTTGCGCATGTGCAGTAGGCACCCGGCTGTGAAGCCGCAAGCCGACACAACCTGGTGCCCACAGTTGTGATGCCGACACCTGTGAGAGAAAAGGCAGAGAAGGGACAGCGTGGATGAGCACATATCGCTGGACTCTGGGACAGGTGAATGTGTGTTTATTAAAAGTTTATTAACAGTTTTTGTAGCTACTGACTTTTAATAAGCACAAAACTGACTGGAACTCCGCTTTAAAGTGGAACTTCAGCATGCGTAGAAACAGTTGTGTTCAAAATAATAGCAGTGTGTTGAAAAAAGTGAATAAAGCTCAAAATCCTTCTAATAGCTTTTATTTCCATACATACAAATGCATTGGGAACACTACACATTCTATTCCAAATCAAAACATGAAGAAAAAAAGTATCAAATTTGTGCTGTTCCTCTACAAAAATTGAAGAAAAGTGAATATTAGACTGTTCAAAAAAATAGCAGTTAGTTTTGTATTCTTCTTTACAAACTCAAACATTCACTATATAAACTGAAAAATGTTTAAAGATTTTGCTTTCCTTTGAATCACTTAATGAATATTTAGTTGTAGTCGCACTGTTTCTGAGAACTGCTGTACATCTGTGTTGCATGGAGTCAACCAACGTCTGGCACCAGTGAACAGGTATTCCAGCCCAGGATGATTGGACTACATTCCACAGTTCTTCTCTATTTCTTGGTTTTGCCTCAGAAACTGCATTTTTGATGTCACCCCACAAGTTTTCTATTGGATTAAGATCCGGGGATTGGGCTGGCCACTCCATAACGTCAATCTTGTTGGTCTGGAACCAAGATGTTGCACGTTTACTGGTGTGTTTGGGGTCGTTGTCTTGTTGGAACACCCATTTCAAGGGCATTTCCTCTTCAGCATAAGGCAGCATGACCTCTTCAAGTATTCTGATGTATTCAAACTGATCCATGATCCCTGGTATGCGATAAATAGGCCCAACACCGTAGTATGAGAAATATCCATATATCATGATGCTTGCGCAACCATACTTCACTGTCTTCACAGTGTACTGTGGCTTGGATTCAGTGTTTGGGGGTCGTCTGACAAACTGTCTCCGGCTACTAGACCCAAAAAAGAACAATCTTACTTTCATCAATCCACAAAATGTTGCGCCATTTCTCTTTAGGCCAGTCAATGTGCTCTTTGGCAAATTGTAACCTCTTCAGCACATGTCTTTTTTTCAACAGTGGGACTTTGCGGGGGCTTCTTGCAGATAGTTTGGCTTCACATAGGCGTCTTCTAATTGTAACAGTACTCACAGGTAACTTTAGACCTTCTTTGATCTTCCTGGAGCTGATTGTTGGCTGAGTCCTTGCCATTTTGGCTATTCTTCTATCCATTCGAATGGTAGTTTTTCACTTTCTTCCACGTCTTTCAGGTTTTGGTTGCCATTTTAAAGCATTTGAGATAATTTTAGCTGAGCAGCCTATCATTTTCTGCACTTCTTTATGTTTTCTCCTCTCCAATCAACTTTTTAATCAAGGTACGCTGTTCTTCTGAACAATGTCTGGAATGACCCATTTTCCTCAGAATTTCAGAGAGAAATGCACTGTAACCAGCATGTACAACATTTGCTGCCTTCCTTCCTTAAATAAGGGCAATAATTGCCACCTGTTTTTCAAAGAATGAATGACCTCACTAATAGAACTCCACACTGATATTATTTTGAACATGCCCTTTCAATTAGTGATTCAATTACACAGAATCAGCAGCATGCATGTCATGACTGTTGGGTCTGTAGGATTTCTATTACTCTACTACACCTGCTAGTAAATTATTTGCCATGTAGAAATATCATTTCTACCAAAAACAGTGATTGATCAGGTTAGTGATGTCTGACTGCTATTATTTTGAACACAACTGTATGTCCAAGGGCTCTGCCCAGCCATCAGGTCCAGCAGAGTCCTTTGGCACATCTGTGCACACACAAAAAATTTCAAAAAATTTGCTTTCAAAATTAATCGCACCACAATGCGCTAACACACATTAATACAATGCAAAATTGTGTTTCAACCCTAAACTGTAGACTATTGATGGCTGCAAAGAAGGATAGAGAGGGCCAAATAAAAAAAAACCCACCAATATAGATTACATTACTATAAAGTATAGTGAAGTGGTAATAATATCATTAATATTTATGAAGGTAATCCGGTGTACAAACCAAGTGTAGTGGATGCCTCCTCCTGTGCTCTGCGTAGTGCTTCCTCGCTGACATTCACACAAAGGGTGTCTCTCAAAGGGTCCCTGTGGCGTGGATCAGAGCCAACTTCCCATTTCTCAGACTCCAGTTCCAGAATCTTCCGCAGCAATTCTTCTTTTTCCATATACATGGCCTCTGTACCACCCCTGTGTAGAGGGCTATATATCAGACAATGCATAATATAAGAGACAAAGTGCTGCACAGTGCAGGAAAGAAGGGAGTTCCAGATGACAAAAGCAGGACAGGCATAATGTACAAAGTAATGGGTCCAGCCCAACCACCAAGTTTCCCATACTCCTTCCCAGTTTACCTTGTGCCATTCCCACTGCTATAAGTATTTTATGTTTTATAATTGTGCATAGTGCAATGAATTAAAGAAATGGCCTCACAATTCTGCAGTGTGTTTCAGTCAATGCCTCCTAAACTTTTGGTGCCTTTAGCAAAACCTTAGCCTCAGAGCATCATATATTTGGGACAATTTGTAAATCGTGCATGAAACCATCTAAACTTGCTATCAAGAAGACATCGTTTGGAACTCTCCGTAAATCTTGTAAATGTACAAAAGCTTCCCTCCGTGCTGAAGAAAACAGCAGTTCCATCTAAAACTAGATGAGTACACTGGAAATGAGACAGGCGAGGTATATATATTCAGTGGGTTTATGAAACGTTGACTGTAACTAGCTAACACCTCAAGCTTTGTCTGAATTAAAGCGGTAGTAAAATGTGTTTAGAAAAAAAAACTGGTTCAATGGTGCAGGATCTGGGAGGTTGCCTCTAGATCTTCTATATGTCTGGTATATAAAGAAAATACTTATAAAATTTTGATGTTCTGGTACAAGACTCCTGAGGTTCTCCATGCTCGCAATCCGAGTGTTTCTCCTGTCTGCTGGTGATGCGGTGAGAAAATTGAAACTCTTTTCCATATTTTTTGCTTTGCCAACACATTGCACCTTTCTGGAGAGAGGTCTTTAGTCTTTTGCAGCTACTTTTACGGATCCACATTCCATTTGACCCCATCCACTTTTTACTGGGCCTACCTTTTCCAGGCCTCTCTAAACTTGCCAAGAAACTATCTTATGTCCTAACAGCGGCCAGGAGAACCATTCCCATGCATTGGCTTTCCTCCTCCTACACGGTCGAAATTGGTTTTAGGGTTGTTGCTGAGATTAGAAGAATGGAGTACCTCACTGCTATGCATGCTAATTTTGTCCCCCTTTTTGAAGCAGTGTGGGAATCATGGGATCTTTACATTTCCGATATGTCTACTCAGATGTTGCTAGCTAATCCACTTTGTGCACTGACTTTGTATGTATCTGCATTTCATCGATGAACCTGTTTCCTCTTTTTTTTCTGTTGATTTGTGCTGTGCAATCTTATGTTTGTTCTATGCCTTTTAAAACCCAATAAAAAGTAAATTAATTAAAAAAAAAACAAACAAAAAAAAAACTGGTCCCCTCCAGAGGGTAATGTCATAATGTGCTTGTTAGCTACATCACTCACATGGAATCCATCTTCACCTAGTCTTTCGTCTGGGTTTACAGGCTCCAGTTGTTTGAATGGTCAAGCCTCAATGACGTCACATTATGAGTTATGGCCGCGGTATAGCTCCATGCCGTCCATTGAGAGCACAGTGCACACGCGCCGGTGATGTCACCAGCTGCTTCACATGTAAATATTACCTAAACGGTGCACATTTAGGTGATATTTGCTGTACCTACAGGTGAGCCTTATTATAAGCTTGCTTGTAGGTACAAAACAACAAAGAAAGTTTACTTCCACTTTAACAATCTGGAGACAGATAATGAAGATGTAGCTCAGCTGCAAAATGTTTCGAGGTTATGACCACAGAAATCCATTATTGCTGATGCCTCATGCTTTGAAATAACAAAAGAACACAAAATGAACCTTTAGTCTATGAAAGAAAGTGGTAAATAGCAGCAAAATATCCATTTTCATTGCAGTCTGATTAAAATGCAAGTTCCGTGGATACAGGTGTACACATTATAATATGATTTGTCCTTTACCTTGACCAACAACTATGGAGTATAAGAAACCTCCTGTAAGGAAAACAATTGAATGGATTGTTTAGGTAGGCTTTCACATGATGTACTTTTGATAAATCTGAAAGAGATCGGATGTAGATTGCAAAATCAGATTGTATGACCCACTTAACATGGAATGTACTACAAATGTTTTCATAGATAAAGGCACTGGGGGGGGTTTACACACCTTTCCTTCTATGATGACATTGTTCCAGACCTCGTTATGGAGACTAAGCTGGCCTTACACTTATAGAAGTCTAAATGATTCTTTCATCCATGCTACACAGCACAGATGGGCGAATCTCCCCTGCCAGCTATTGTATTCTGACAGCTGGCTCCAGTGGCTGTCAGAATACCCAAACAGTAGCTGCATCTGATTGGATGCAGGAGTTGTTTGGCTGACAATTTTCCACCCGGCTTCTTCAACAAAAGCCGCTTGATGGGTGGACACCCATGCAATGCGATTCAGGTGCAGACAGGTGCGGATGCAATTTGAGCCATACAAAATGTATGGCTCAAATCACACCACACAGACATCGCATGTGACGTGCACAGGTATGTGGTGTGATTCCTGTGCGAATCACATGCGGTGCCCCCACCGCACCGCACAGGTATGAACCTAGTTTAAAAGTACATAGAAGAATGTTAAGCATACATATAAGACACATAGATGTTTACTTACCATAGCTGGAAAGTGCAAAATCAGGTGCACGTCTGCATAGAACCTTCCAGGTTTTTTTGCCAAAACTTAAAGTGTTACTAAACCCAGGACCCTGCATTCACTATATCTGGTCTCCCACAGTACACAGAACATGGAAATGTAGTTATTTTAGTAAATATAAACTGCTAAATACCTTTTCTCATCAGCAGTTAGAGCAGTCTTGTGACTTCAGGAGAGCACTGCGTAAAGCTTGTAGGAGGAGTTTTCTTTCTGCTCTAGGAGGATGCAAAATCCCTGACCTCTGTCTGGACAGTGCTGATTGGCCCTGTGCTGATCACATGCACTCTCCCAAGAAAAAAAAACCCTCTAGCAATACACACCAAACCGAGAATGTGACTACAGATTCAGTCTGTATCAGGTGGACATTTGAACAAGAGGAGGGGCAGAGAAGTCAGGATCAAATGGCCTTTTTACACAATGCAGAGGATTAACCCCTTAGGTTCCACAGTGAGTATACCAAGCATGCTTTACTGCATATACACACTGATTTTACTGTTGTGGGTGTAGTAACACTTTCATTAAACAAACTGAGATTAGAAGCTGATTGGCTACCATGCACAGGTGCACCAGATTCTGAGTTCACCGGTTTTAGTAAATCTCCTCCATAGTGCAAGTTTTATTTTAGGAAAAGGTTTTATTTCCTATTTTAAGAAATATTTTTAAACTTGTATTATTTTTTTTTTAAACAATATCTCCTACAGCCTGCATTTACACCTCAGCAGAGTGTATTCCTAGTGATTTTTTTCAGGCACTTTACAAGTGTTTTACAAGCTTTATGCAAGTGTTTTTGCATGTGTATCATGCTTCAGGCATATGTTTCCTGGACTGTGTAAGGGGAGGAGATCCCCTGTATACACATTAAGGCCCCTTTTAGACATGCCAGACTCCGTCCCGATCAGCAGGGAATCCGCTCTCAGATACCCTGCTGATCAGAGCAGAGCGGATGGATGAGACAGTTTCTACAGACCAGACACAGACAGAGCTCACTCTGCTCTATGGGCGGGCGGATGTAAAGTCTCTGCTGTCCGTTTACACTGACTACCCTCCGAACTGATCCACTTAAACGGAAAAGGATGGATCCCCTTCCGTTTTTTTGTGGTGGACCGGATTGGGTCTGGAGGTAGAGGAGGTGTAAATGGACAGCCTGCCCATAGGTGTGAAAGGACCGGCCAATCAGATCCAACTAAAAAACTGACAGGCGGACCTGATCGGACTCACCACGTGAAAGGGGCCTTACAGGTGCACCCAAAACAGAATTCGCTCAAACTACTTTTTTTGTCGTTTTTTTTTAACATAGGGGTAGAGCTTAGGGCAACTGAGCATACAGTACCATATGAATGTGAACAGGGACAATTAGAATGGGATTCTGTAAGTTGAGTGTAGTCAGGCATAGGGAAACAAGCTGAAAAATGCCATAAGTGAATGGGGGGGCTTTAAAAATGTGTTTTTTTTCTACAGTGAGTGCACATGGAAAAAAATACCATACAAATGTACACAAGCCCCCCCAAATAATTTCTCTCTAGTACAGTAGTTGTCAAGTTATGAGGCTTTGGTGGCCCCAACTGTGACCTCTGAGGTCCCACATAATATTCAATATACATAACACTACAAAAGACTGTCGGAGATTACAACCACTGTACTAGAGAGAAATTATTTGGGGGGGCTTGTGTACATTTTTATGGCGTTCTGTCTTGGTCAGGTGAACAGTCTGTCAGGGCTGTTAGGTAGCCATTGAAACCAAAGCCCAGTGGAAAGTAGCATATCTGGTGCCCCAACTACAGGATGGTCACCATGCGGCCTTGTGGTAGTGTTGATTTTTGTGGACAGGACATTATGGCAGTGATCTCTTCCCACTCTCCTACAGCATGGCTTCAACCTCATCTGTATCATAGCTGTAGATTCTGACCAGATAATAAATGTTATTTTCCACTGGGCTTTGGTTTAAATGGCTACCTAACAGCCCTGACAGACCGTTCACCCGACCAAGACAGAACTCCTTGTATGTTGTTCTTAACCCCGAGTCTCCGACACCCCAATCCCCCCATCCTTTCTTCTTTCTGTCTCTCCCCTTTTTCTTTCATCCCTCACCTGTGTCTTTTATAAACCACTCTCTGAATATCACAGAGTTAAAACTGGTCCAATTACACCCACTTCCAAGTGTAAAGACTTTTCCTGTCTGCAAGTTGTATGAGATACTTACTGTTATGACATTTTAATTTTCTCTGTCAAACACCAGGGCCTGAAATATGTATAAATAATCTGCTAAGGATATTTCATACCAGCTTGGTGAGCCTATGTTCTCTACTAATACCTAGAATGTTTACTAGACATAAAATGAAAAGGTGGTTTATGGAAACCTTAATGCTATTTATGGGGAAGTATGTAAAAGGTTTGGGAAATGATTGAAATTGAATAAATCTAAAATGACGGTGGTACCATGTACAGCAGTATGAAGAAATGAAAAATAAGAATGTAGTATGACTCCTCCAGTTATGGCCAGCTTCTTCAGTACATATTTTTACAGCAACATTCCAGAGATCAATACCAATATTGGGGAAAAAAGTGAAACATATGACCACTGCACACTTCTCCTTGCTCTCCCATGTACAATCGCAGGGGACCCTGTCTTCATTCATGAGCACACTGTTTTAACAATTTCTATAGTCCTGGAGGCATTGCGTGGGTTGACTATACCTCTAAAAAGGGAGGCATTTTTGGCCAATACTTAGATTAATGCTATATAGTAATGTTCCTCCAAAACAGTGTGCATTGATCCACAAAACATGTCTAGAATGTGAAAATCCACTACATCTATTGATGTATTTGATCTTTATAAACTGAAAAACACACATAACTTGTAAAATATATCATGTCTCAGTCACAGTTAAAGTAGAACTATAGGAAAAAACTTTTTTTTTTTCCATTTTGCATACAGTAAGGGAGGGTTATAATCCCTGTAAGGTTTATTTTTTCAGTCCCACAGTAATACCACTTTTGTGGTGGAATCCTAAATTAATGATGTAGCACCCACTGCTCAGCTCAACTGGGGTAGAGTGACTGAAGATGTGGTGAGAAGTGGGGTCACTGGCTCTGCACCTGAAAAACACTCCATGGCTAGCCTTTACCAGAAGAAGGTCTAGCAATTGCCTTACATGGAACCTAGTACTTGAAGGTCACTTCTAGGCTATTCCCACAACAAGCAGTCCAGCAGTCTAGATGCAGCACTCCAAAAGCAAGGCTGAGAATGGTTGTGCCTGATGGTTGCAGTCGATGGGACAAGGCATCAGCAGGGATGTAGAGAAGAGAATTGACTGAAGAAAAAATTAAAAGAAGGATAAGGATGGTAGCCAAAAAATGGGATAGTCTTTTATACAGTAGAGCTTCAGAAAAGATGTCCATTCTCCCATGACACTAGCAAAGAACAGAGACAGTAGTGAAAGGGTTTGTTCTGGGCTGGTGTACGGTATAATCCAAAGGTTAAAAACTTCCTGTATCCCTCAATGAAAAAAAAAAAACAATAGTGTTATGCTGAAAGCAGCATACAGAGTTATGGACAGCTACAATGAGATTGCTGCATTCTAGGACCCATCGTTGATGAGCTGTATGCCAACACTGCCATAATACACATGCTGATGCCTAGAAAGCCACGTTCAATTATGAACTGCCCATGAATAAACATCCTCCATGGCCTCCAAGTCTATTTGGCAACATAGCACATAGCTTTGTAACTCTGGCTAAAGCATAATGTTACATAATATAATTCGACACTTAAACGGGAGCTCCACCCAAAAGGGGAAGTTCCGCTTTAGGGACTGCTACCCCACTCCCCATTAAGGATTGCCACCTTTGGGGAGCGGGTACCCGAATTTGACAGGTACCCGCTCCCACTTCCAGTCTGATCGCCTAGGCGATCGGAAACGGAAGGTGTCCTCTCTCCCTGTAGTCTTTTGGGACATGTGACAGGTCCCAGAAGACTACAGGACCATTCACGAAGCGCAGCGCTACTAGACACAAGCTATCACAGCCGGGTGCCGACACTGAAGATCCCGGCCTCCTGGAATACAGAATGGCTGGTGAAACGGGCTGCGGGGGGACATATCACAGGACTGAGGGACAGGTAAGTGGCTGTTTTTTAAAAGTCAGCAGCTACAGTTTTTGTAGCTGCTGACTTTTATTTTTTGATTGGTCGAGTGGAACTCCACATTAAAGTGTTAATAAACCCCAGACCCTGCATTCACTATATCTGGTCTCCCACAGTACACACATGGAAATGCAATTATTTAGTAAATATAAACTGCTAAATACCTTTTCTCATCAGAAGTTAGAGCAGTCTTGTGACTTCTTTCAGTGCTCAGCAGAACACTGGTTAAAGCTTCTAGGAAGAGTTTTTTTTTTTCTGCTCTAGGAGGATGCAAAACCTCTGACCCTCTGTCTATACAGTGATGATTGGCCCTGTGCTGATCACATGCACTCTCCCAAGAAAAAAAAAACCTCTCTAGCAATACACACTAAACTGAGCATGTGCATGTGACTACGGGCTCAATCTGTCTTATCAGGTGGACATTTGGAGAAGAGGAGGGGCAGAGAAGTCAGGATCAAATGGCCTTTTTACATAATTCAGAGGATTAACCCCTTAGGTTCCACAGTGAGTATAACAAGCACGCTTTGCTGCATATACAGTTGTGGGTGTAATAACACTTTAAATATACCACACCATTTCAAATGATTAGATCAAGAAAGGAGCACAATTTGCTAGTATTCAGTAAGGTAGGTGCTATCATAAAATGGTATTTACTATAACCTATTAGATTGTAAGCTCCAAGGAGCAGGGCCCTTCTATCCCTCTTGTATTGAACTGTATTGTTGCTGTATTGTCTCCCTTGATATTGTAAAGCGCTGAGCAAACTGTTGGGGCTATATAAATCCTGTATAATAATAAAATACAAATTCTGTTTTACTACTGTATATAAATATAATGAATAAATGAAGACACATACTGGTACTGAGGTGGTTAAACAATAAATAAAGTTGTGTTTAGTCTTTAAAAGTTTCCCATTGACGCCAATCGCAAGTCTTCCTATATTAATGGAAGTAAGATTATTTATTTATTTCAGGTACTTGTATAGCGCCGTCAATTTATGCAGCGCTTTACACATATATATTGTACATTCACATCAGTCCCTAACCCTCAAGGGGCGTACAATCTAAGGTCCCTAACTCACATTCATACATACACATATTAGGGCCAATTTAGACAGGAGCCAATTAACCTACCAGCATGTCTTTGGAGTGTGGGAGGAAACCGGAGTACCCGGAGGAAACCCACGCAGGCACAGGGAGAACATGCAAACTCCAGGCAGGTGGTACCGTGGCTCAGATTCAAACCAACGACCCTAGTGCTACCAGGTGGAAGTGCTAACCATTTAGCCACCGTGCTGCCCAAGATGACCTTGCATTGTGTGCAATGGATAGATGTCATAGATTAACTCAAAACGCTTTAAATGCCCCGAAACAGTCTTACATTGATTGGTGGTCAGAGGCAATTTAACCCCCCCCCCCCCAAGCCTATAGTGCTGCAAGTCACTGGCATTTTAAATACCCCCCCAAAAAAACTCACAACATTGATGGCATTTGGCCAGTCTTCTGGGCTGATTGATTCCAAGAAGTCTAAGGACATCTAGTGGCTGGATTAAGTTACTGCAGGTGACAAGTCTAGAGAGAAGGTAAGTATGACAGGCTGAGCTGCTTTTTTCCGCCACTGCTCAGGCAGTTTTTGAAATAAAGAAAAAAAAAAAAACATGGCCTGGAGCTGCACTTTAAAATGAAAATGTACTTTGTCCATGCAGACATCCACAGACATAAATATTTACTGTTAGAAAAGTCTAGTACATACAACGAAAAGACTATTGCATGCTCATGCACACGCTCATATTTCCGAACAAAGGCTCACTGCAAACGTGTATTAGCAAGCACACACGAACGTATTGGCACGCACATGAAGCAGTATGTGTGTGGTACTGGGGCCAAACGGCCTAATTAAGTTGGATTGTAACATGAAGAGATTGCTGAGTGGCGTTCAGCTAGTCCCTGATTTACTGTGTTCTGACCTGCTACATTCGCCTTCCCGTGCACAACCCAAAGGAAAATCTGTTTATTGCTGTCCACACCTATACCCATCCCCTGAGGAGGCGGTGGCTCTGGAAGTAGCAGCAGTTTATCTTGATGGGGGTGGTAAACTGGATTTAACAAGAGTTTATATGAAAGTACACCTGTATTCTAAGCCATATGCCCCTTGTGGACCTCTGTCTAGAAGCTCGAAGTTGAAGTACTCAATGAATATATACCATAGGGTCTTTTTTTTTTTTTTTTTTAATGGCTGTGCGAATGTCTTAACATCCGCATAGCTGTCACAAATAATCCTTGGTATGTGTCTAATATATGTGGAATGTCAGTTTCTACATATTTCCAATGATTGTTAGCTCCATCCAATGGCCACAATATGGTATTTTTCTGATTGAGGTGTATCAGGGAACTACTGCTATGGCCATTAGATAGAGCTGACTATCATAGAAAATAACTAGAAAATTATATTTTACACATAATACACCCATTACAGGGATTATTCATGATGGCTATGTAAATGCTGAGACATCTGAGTTTTTTTTGTAAACTTTTAACCGCTAGCCTACAGGGCACTTATACCCCCTTCCTGCCCAGGCCAGTTTCCAGCTTTCAGCGCTGTCGCGTTTTGAATGACAATTGCGCGGTCATGCAACATTGTACCCATATGAAATTTTTATAACTTTTTTGTGACAGATAGAGCTTTATTTTGGTGGTATTTAAGCAACTCTGGGTTTTTTATTTTTTCTTAAACAAACCAAAAACCACTGAAAATGTGAAAAAAAAAGTTTTTTCTTAGTTTTTGCTATAAAATTTTGTAAATAAGTGATTTTTCTCCTTCACTGATATGCGCTAATGAGGCTGCAGTGATGGGCACTGATAGGCTGCACTGATGGACACTGATAGGTGGCACTGATGGGCATTGACAGGCATCACTGATGGACACTGAAAGGCAGCACTGATACATGGCACAGATATATGGCACTGTTAGGCGGCACTGACTGGCACTGTTAGGCGGCACTGATAGGCGGCACTGACTGGAACTGATAGATGGCACTGACTGGAACTGATAGGTGGCACTGATTGGCATTGATAGGTGGCACTGACCGGCACTGATGGGTGACACTGAAAGGCAGCTCAGATGGGCACTGATATGTGGCATTGATGTGCACTGGTAGGTACTGATATGTGGCATTGATGTGGCACTGATGGATACTGGCACGAGGCACTGATGAGCACTGACACAAGGCACTGATGAGCACTGACAGGTGGCACTGCTGGGGCTACACTGATCATCAGGGCACACTGATCATCAGTGCCCTGATGATCAGTGTACATGTCCCCTCTGCGGAAAGCCGATTTTCGGCTCTCCTCTCCTCTCGAGCTGTCAGCGTGACAGCTCGAGAGGAGAGAAATGCCGATAACCAGCATTTCCCTGTTTACATGTGATCAGCTGTGATTGGACACAGCTGATCACATGACCGAGCCGACATCTTTGGCTCTTTCCGTGAACGGTGATCCGCTGTGTCCGAGGGACACAGAGCACTGCCAATCGCCGCGCTGCGCACTCCCTATGATGTCATATGACGTCCTCCCAGAACGAGAGAACCACCTTGCGTCCATCATATTACTATATGGTGGGCGGGAGGTGTGGTTAATGTTGTCTGAGGATTTCTGGTAAATTCCAAATCAGAACTGTAGCAGATCAATGTACATAGGCCTGCTGAAAAGTGTCACAGACTCTACTTTGCAATTTGGCACCTGCCAAAAATCTTCTTCCTCTTTTTGCTATCAATTTTTCTTTGCATTGCACTGCCTGCTGAGCATGCACAGTACAATGTTCACTTCCAACATCCAAAAGAGTTCCATGTAGCGAAGTGCCAGACTAATACAAGACTGCATATTTGCATTATTGGATCATCTATCCCTGTTTAAAGGCCAAAGGAAATAGCAATGCAGCTAAGGAGAGTGCAAAATTCCTTTTGCTTAAAAAGGGCAAATGAAGAGAGAAGTCTGCATTAATGGGGCATGAAAACTTTTTGACAACTAATTTGTGACCCCACAGCGTCATGTATGGGAAAAACAAAAGTGGGCATTTTATCTCTCTGGGAAAGAATTCTATGTAATTACGAACCGAAAAATCTACTTAAAACTACAGTAAGGCTAGGTTCACACCTATGCAGTTTGCATTTGATCCATTTCTGCAGTGCATTTTGCATTTTTGCACGTGTTTTGGATACATTTTTTGAGGTTTTTTTGCTTCTTGCAAGTTAAGGAATGCTGTACGTTAGCGGAAAATGCATAGGTGTGAACCTAGACTTCTGCATGGAAGCATACCGAGAAGAGAGGAGAGGGCTGCAGATGGAGAGGTTTAATGTAAGATGAGGGGAGCAGAGGGTCATGATGAGGAGCAGAGGGCAGGAGTCAGAGCAGAGTTCATCAGAAATTAGAGCAGAGAGAGTCAGAAAGTAGAGCAGAGGGGTCAAGAGGTAGACCAGAGGTTTCAAGAGGTAGAGTGAAGGGTTAGGTCATAGAGCAGAGGCCCAGGAGATAGAGAAGAGGCTCTAGAAGTATAACAGAGGGGTAGGAGGTATGTAGGGGAGAAGGTCACTAAGTAGAGTGGAGGGTCCACAGTTAGGGCAGAGGGTCAGGTTGTAGAGTGGAGGCTCAGTCAGGTTGTAGGTGAAGGCTCAGCAGGTAGGGCAGAGGCTCAGGAGGTACAATGGAGGGGTGGGAAGTAGAGCAAAGAGCCAGGTTGAGTGGCAGAGGGTCAGGGTGTGGAGCAGAGAGTCAGGAGGTAAGGCAAAGGATCAGGACTTAGTGCTTGAGGGTCAGGTTGTAGAGTGGAGACTCAGGAGGTAGAGTGGAGGGGAAGGAAGTAAAGCAAAAAGTCAGGTTGTAGGGTGGAGGGTCAGAATGTAGGTTGGAGGACCAAGAGGTAGGGCAGAGTGCTAAAAAGGTAGGGTGGAGGCTCAGAAGGTAAAGCAAAGAGGAGGTAGGGCAGAGGGTCAGGACATACAATGGAGGGGTGAAAGGTAGGGCAAACAGTCATGTGGTAGAGCGGAGGGTCAGGACTTACAACAGAGGGGCAAGAGGTAGAGCAGAGTCAGCAGGTAGGGCAGAGGGCCAGAAGGTAGGGAAGAGGATCAGGACATACAACGGAAAGGCGGGAGGTAGAGCAAAGAGTCAGGCAATAGGGCAGAGGATAAGGGTGGTAGAATGGAGGGTCAGGATGTAGAGCAGATGGCCAGAAGGTGGAATGGAGTGTAAGGAGGTAGAGCGGAGGAACAGGATGTAGAACAGAGGGTCAGAAGGTGGAATGGAGTGTAAGGAAGTAGAGTGGAGGGTCAGGATGTAGAACACAAGGTCAGAAGGTGGAATGGAGGGTAAGGAGGTAGAGCGGAGGGTCAGGATGTAGAACAGAGGGTCAGAAGGTGGAATGGAGGGTAAGGAGGTAGAGTGGAGGGTAAGGAGGTAGAGCGGAGGGTAAGGATGTAGAACAGAGGGTCAGAAGGTGGAACGGAGGGTCAGAAGGTGGAACGGAGGGTAGAAGGTGGAACGGGGTCAGAAGGTGGAACGGAGGGTCAGAAGGTGGAACGGAGGGTCAGAAGGTGGAACGGAGGGTCAGAAGGGAACGGAGGGTCAGAAGGTGGAATGGAGGGTAAGGAGGTAGAGCGGAGGGTCAGGATGTAGAACACAAGGTCAGAAGGTGGAATGGAGGGTAAGGAGGAAGAGCAGCAGAGGGTCAGAATGTAGAACAGAGGGTCAGAAGGTGGAATGGAGGGTAAGGAGGTAGAGCGGAGGGTCAGGATGTAGAACAGAGGATCAGAAGGTGGAATGGAGGGTAAGGAGGTAGAGCGGAGGGTAAGGAGGTAGAGCGGAGGGTCAGGATGTAGAACAGAGGGTCAGAAGTGGAACGGAGGGTAAGGAGGTAGAGCGGAGGGTAAGGAGGTAGAGCGGGGGGTCAGGATGTAGAACAGAGGGTCAGAAGGTGGAATGGAGGGTCAGAAGGTGGAAATGGAGGGTCAGGGTCAGAAGGTGGAATGGAGGGTAAGAAGGTGGAATGGAGGGTAAGGAGGTAGAGTGGAGGGTCAGGATGTAGAACAGAGGGTCAGAAGGTGGAATGGAGGGTAGGAGGTAAAGCGGAGGGTCAGGATGTAGAACAGAGGGTCAGAAGGTGGAATGGAGGGTAAGGAGGTAGAGCAGAGGGTAAGGAGGTAGAGCGGAGGGTCAGGATGTAGAACAGAGGGTCAGAAGGTGGAATGGAGGGTAAGGAGGTAGAGCGGAGGGTAAGGAGGTAGAACAGAGGGTCAGAAGGTGGAATGGAGGGTAAGGAGGTAGAGCGGAGGGTCAGGATGTAGAACAGAGGGTCAGAAGGTGGAATGGAGGGTAAGGAGGTAGAGCGGAGGGTCAGGATGTAGAACAGAGGGTCAGAAGGTGGAATGGAGGGTAAGGAGGTAGAGCGGAGGGTCAAGATGTAGAGCGGAGGGTCAAGATGTAGAACAGAGGGTCAGAAGGTGGAATGGAGGGTAAGGAGGTAGAGCGGAGGGTAAGGAGGTAGAGCGGAGGGTCAGGATGTAGAACAGAGGCTCAGAAGGTGGAATGGAGGGTAAGGAGGTAGAGTGGGGGGTCAGGATGTAGAACAGAGGGTCAGAAGGTGGAATGGAGGGTTAGAGGAGGGAATGGAGGGTAAGGAGGTAGAGTGGAGGGTCAGGATGTAGAACAGAGGGTCAGAAGGTGGAATGGAGGGTAGGAGGTAAAGCGGAGGGTCAGGATGTAGAACAGAGGGTCAGAAGGTGGAATGGAGGGTAAGGAGGTAGAGCGGAGGGTAAGGAGGTAGAGCGGAGGGTCAGGATGTAGAACAGAGGGTCAGAAGGTGGAATGGAGGGTAAGGAGGTAGAGTGGGGGGGTCAGGATGTAGAACAGAGGGTCAGAAGGTGGAATGGAGGGTTAGAAGGTGGAATGGAGGGTAAGGAGGTAGAGTGGAGGGTCAGGATGTAGAACAGAGGGTCAGAAGGTGGAATGGAGGGTAGGAGGTAAAGCGGAGGGTCAGGATGTAGAACAGAGGGTCAGAAGGTGGAATGGAGGGTCAGGAGGTAGAATGGAGGGTAAGGAGGTAGAGCGGAGGGTAAGGAGGTAGAGCAGAGGGTAAGGAGGTAGAGCAGAGGGTAAGGAGGTAGAGCAGAGGGTAAGGAGGTAGAGCAGAGGGTAAGGAGGTAGAGCGGAGGGTCAGGAGGTAGAGCGGAGGGTCAGGAGGTAGAGCGGAGGGTCAGGAGGTAGAGCGGAGGGTCAGGAGGTAGAGTAGAACAGGTAGAGGGTCCATAGGGTCAGGAAGGCGGAGGAATGGAGGGTAGAGCGGAGGGTCAGGTAGAGCAGGAGGGTCAAGGAGGTAGAACAGAGGGTCAGAAGGTGGAATGGAGGGTAAGGAAGGTGGAGCGGAAAGGAGGGTAGAACAGAGGGTCAGAAGGTGGAATGGAGGGTAAGGAGGTAGAGCGGAGGGTCAGGATGTAGAACAGAGGGTCAGAAGGTGGAATGGAGGGTAAGGAGGTAGAGTGGAGGGTCAGGATGTAGAACAGAGGGTCAGAAGGTGGAATGGAGGGTAAGGAGGTAGAGCGGAGGGTCAAGATGTAGAACAGAGGGTCAGAAGGTGGAATGGAGGGTAATTAGGTAGAGCGGAGGGTCAGGATGTAGAACAGAGGGTCCCACCTGCGTAGCATGGTGAAATTCTGCCTCTTGTAATAATCCAGCAGTAGTGCGGTCCTCTCTCTGCACCTCCTACCATCCACCTCGAAGCCTTCTCCCTGCAGGGCCGCGCTCATCCTCTCCGCCACCGCTGCCCACACCTGGCCGAACTCCCGCACCCAGAAGGGATTGTGGTGGATGACCTCCCGCAGCAGGATGATATCATGGTGGGCTGCAAAACGGATGTGGCGCTTCCTCGTGGATCCAGGAGGAGAATACGCTCCGAAGTCCGCCCGCACTGATCACAGGGAAGGAAGAGTTTATTAGACTATCCATGGCAGCAGCATAATGCAGCAATACAGCTCTGTGTATATACAATGTAACAAGAAGATTCCTCATCACTTCATGGAAGTGACAGAGCAGACATGGATGATCTCATAGAATATTATATTGTAGCTACCCATCTGCCTCCACTCTCACCAGCAGCAGCACTGCTCTGGACTGGTCCCGGAGACTCCATCCGTCTGACCCTGACGTCCCCTCTCTGATTCCGGCACAGGAAGCAAATCACAACGGTGACATTCTTCCATCGGCCATGAGGTGGGGCTAGAGAGCAGAGTCATTTCTCTGGATGTGTATTCTCATAGAGAACATTTGTGTCAGTATTATAAGGAGAGAAAAGAAACTATTATTATACAGGATTTATATAGCACGAACAGTTTGCTCAGCGCTTTAACGGGAGACAATACAACAACAATACATTTCAATACAAGAGGGTTAGGAGCAGGGGCAGACTGACAACTCATGGGGCCCCCGGGCTTTAACAGGGTACTTGGACCGCACTGCTGCCATGGGGTATACTAAGGGGGCACACCGGTTACCTAAAGGGGGCTGGTATTTCATCCTTTCCACTTGGGTCGCCGCTATTGCAGTCTGTGAATCCGCAGAGGAGTGTCTTCATAGTCATCTGATAGGAAAGCTCCAATAAGAGAAGTGTCTTCACTATGCCATTATGTACTCACACTAATAAATGCTTTGGATTTAAATTGTTGCAATAAATCTTATGATCTGTGCAGTCTGATGTGCCTGCACTTTATATGTCGCTTTCAGTAATGTGTATATATATATATATATATATATATATATATATATATATATATATACACACACACACACATACATATACACACACAGTATATATATATATATATATATATATATATATATATATATATATATACACACACAGTATGTGTATATATATATATATATATATATATTTTTTGGCATGATCTGACTGTGGGGCAGGTTAGGTAGATTACATGGTGAGAACATCTGTCTGCGCACGCAAGGTAAGTATTAAAATCCTTTTTTCAATTTAATTTCAGTGATGCTTAGAGTTAAACTTTAGAGTAACTCTGTCATGATAACAAAAAAAAAAAGAACCGTGGGTATAAAGTGTACAAAATGCACATACCTGAGGTCCCCACTGTTATGCCTTTAAGACGGTACTAGGTGAGGTGGTTGGAGTGTAGTTCCCTGTTTCCCATTAGAGGTCTCTCTTTCTCCATAGTTAGAGGGTATAGAATAGGGGTGTAAAACTCATGTTGATCACAGGCTGCATCAGCAATATGGTTGCCCTCAAAGGGCCAGTTATCCAGAGCCCCACCCTTCCATCAGATGTCAAGAGTCTGCCATCCTCCTTTATATCACTGTTCCCCCCCTTACCTTGTACTGCTCTTGGGAAGAAGCTAGGAAGCAGAAAGTACAGGGTCTGGAGGAGGACCAGAGGAGGGCTGGAGTCTGTTGCTGGAGTCTGTTGAAGGCTGAGACCAGGGGGTGCTGTGTCTGCACAGAGAGGCCCAGGATCTATAGGAGGAGTTCTGTCCTCCTCTCTGCTGCCAGCTGCTGAGACAAAGTGGAGATGGAGACAAAGGTTGGTGCTGCAGCTGCAGAAAAGGTGCGAGGGCCATATGAAATGGCCTGGCGGGCTGGGTTCAGCCCCGGTCCTTGTGTTTGACATGTGGTATAGACAGAGTTGCTAGGGTTTTGGGCCCGGAGAGAAAATGCAGGGGTCTGAGGAAGGAAGAAAGTATCTTCTTTGTTGGGCCTCCACTCGAGAGTTTGGGTTCTATTGCTAAAGAATATAGCTATTTAGGAAAATGGCATTCCCTGCCTAGGGAACACTGCAAAGCCTTTCTCCCTAGTTGGCCATGCTTGGGGAAGAACAGGAAGTTTTGGACACCTATGGTTAAGGATATTCTTACTGCCTTTTGCACCTAAGTAAAAAGGAAAACTAGAAAAGCACTTTTGGATTTGACTCCCCTGATTCTTATCACCGGTGGCCTACACCTGGGAAAGGAAGAAGGCCTCTGGATCATGTAGAGAAGATGTGTGTGACTTTAGTTTACTGCTTGAGTAATACAAGGGCTTCGGATACAATGACTCCTTCTGGGAGCGTTTGTTCACATTAGCACAATCTGGGCCTGAAGCCTGATAATGGTACCTGAGATACAGTGCATTGCCCTTATGTTCTCTTGGCCCTGACTACACACTTAAAGCCAAGCTGTTCTAACAGGCACTGATTGGTAAAATCGAAGTTATCCTGCACCAACCTACCTTCTACACATTCCCATTGTCCAGGGAGGAAGCCCAATGTAGTGAGGGACAACTATGACTTACCCAGGGTCAAGGCTGCTGTTAGAAACCACAGGGCCCCATACAGCCAACCTTCAAAAAAAAAAAAAAAAGTTACACAGTTTACTATGCTTCAGTTATGAGTGAACATAGTGAATAAGTACCAATCACTCATTGTGTTCATTCAAGAAAGGAAGGATCTGGTAAATGTGACTTATTTACCAGACCCGACTCACAATCTCCATTCTGAAGGATCCTATTGTGTGCTTGCAGGTGCCAGTGGAATGGAAAGGAGAGGAGGGAAACTGGAAGCACTGTGGGGGTGGCAGTACACAAGGGGGTCTGGGCAGTAGGAGGAAATGTATGGATCCCCATTATGGCTCTTTACATAGCATCTGAAAGCCAGCGGGAGGGAGAGGAAAAGAAGCCAGCTTTCAGCTGCTGCAGAGAGAACCATACAGGTGATCAGTTCCAGTAATAGCCCCCCGCTGTGCCAATCACCCTCCCTGCCCACATTTGATTCACCTGCCTGGGGCCCCCTGCTGTCCTGGGTCCTGTACAGGAGGACTGGTAGTACCCCCCTATCCATGGTCCTGCCCAGGGCACCTATGTTAGTTGAGCCTTTTGCCAGCGACCTAGGTTTGTTGTACTGTAGATTGCGGTGGTTGCCACTTTTACAGTTGGTTGAATTAGGTGTGGGGAAGCATTGGACGCCTTCAGCTGCCCTTGTGCTCTTGCTGGGCAGCACATGTGTCCATTGTGCTTTTAAAGTGTTACTAAACCCAGGGTGCTGCATTCACTATATCTGCTCTCCCACAGCACACAGAACATGGAAATTCAATTATTTTAATAAATAAACTGTTAAATACCTTTTCTCATCAGAAGTTAGAGCATTCTTGTGACTTCTATCAGTGTCCAGTTTTCTTTCTGCTCTGGGAGGATGCAGAACCCCTGACCTCTGTCTGACCAGTGCTGATTGGCCCTGTGCTGATCACATGCACTCTTCCAAGAAAAAAAAAAAACTATCTTGCAATACACATCAAACTGAGCTTGAGCAAATGCCTACGGTTCAGTCTGTCTTATCAGGAGATAAGAGGTGGTTGCTTGAAAAAGGGGAGGAACAGAGAAGAAAGGATCAAAGGGCCTTTTTGCATAATGCAGAAGATTTACCCCTTAGGTTCCACAGTGAAGTATAACAAGCATGCTTTACTGCATATACAGACTGATTTTATTGTTGTAGGTTTAGTAACACTTTAAGAAAGAGTGGGCTCCCTCTAGGCACACCTGCTCTTAATCTATCCATTGCCATATGTGCTCCTACTAAGGAAACACTGAAAGTTATAGAGTTAGGACTGCAGTTTGCAGAGAAGCCTTGACATGGGCACTGTAGCTTACGCATATATTTGCAAATGTATGCAAACAAAATCCTCTGTTTTAACTATTGTTAGACAGTCAATTTGGTTGTTTTGCATTCTGGTAAGTGTGCGGGGGAACTTTTTGTTTGTGACTTACATCAGAGTTCCCCTTAACACCAGAGCATTCCCCCTTACATCAAAGTCATAGTTACATTAGTTAAATAGTTAGTCTGGCTGAAAAAAGACAAAAGTCCATCCAGTTCAACCATTAAAAAAAAAAAAAGAGGTTATAATCCTACACCCACAGTTGATCCAGAGGAAGGCAAAAAAAAAAACCCAGCAAAGCGTGATCCAATTTGCTCCTGCAGGGGAAAAAAATCCTTCTTGATCCCCCGAGAGCAAGTCAACTCCTTACATCAGAGTTCTCAGTGTTCCCCTATAACAATGGGTTCCCAGAGCATCCCTTACATCAGAGTCGGCAGAGTCCCTCCTTACAGTGTAAAGGAACTCTGCATGTTCAGATGTAAAGAGGAACACTGGGAACTCTGATGTAAGGAGGAACTCTGGGGATACTTCATGTATAGATTGATTTGGGGACTTTGATGAAAGGTGGGCCTCTAAAGTAAGGAGGAATTCTGATGTAAGGAGTGCTTTGGGGACTCTGAGAACCCTCATGTATAGGGGAATGCTTGGGGATTCTGAGTTAAGGGGGAATTCTGATGCCGTTAAGAAATAATGGCACCACAAGTGCAATCCATGTTTTGTCACATTTTTCACTTGTTTCCAGGAACTGCGCAGAAATGCACATTTTTGCCCACATTTCCAAAACTGGAAGGTGTGAATGTCGCCTAAAAAAGCAATTGCTTTGTGAGTGTGATTCTTACAGATTGCTTTTGAATGTTTTTGTAGCCAGTAAATGTTTCAATATGCTACACTATCAGGATCTTTTTACAGTACTTTCTTTATGTTTTATTTTTTTTAAATGCAAAATCAATGAATCCTCTTTTAAATAAATGATATGGAATGCATCCTGTACTGTGACCATTGTAGCTATGCTTTGTTGTAAACCTAACACCATACCAACCACGATGTATATGTAGAGTGTAAATACACACATGGGCTAACCCTGCACAGCCGTTCACTGCAGGTACAAGTGCTTACTAACATTGGTTACTTAAAGGATAAGTTCACTTTTACAAAAAAAAAATAAATAAATGCACATCTTTTTTGGAGGTGCAGGGGCCGATGCATTTGGAATATGTTACACCATGTTACAAAAGGTGAACTTACCCTTTAATTCCCCCCCT